CACACACACACACACACACACACACACACACACACCCACCTTTGTTGACTGTCATTCATTTTCCAGTAATCCCTACAGCCTAACCTTACTGACCCTACGTGACTCTAACCCTAACCCCACAGCCAGAGTCAGCATCTGTTCCCAGCTGGACCAGGCTTTGGTCCCCACAAGGCTGTGTTTGACTGGAAAACATGCTCACACACATTCATTCATATGTCCTGTTTGCAGATTGGAGAGGAAAGGGCCACAGCCATCGCTCTGATGAGGAAGTTCATCGCGTATCAATTCACCGACACAGTAAGAGACGCAACTTTGTTGTTTAGAGTCACCTGACTGAATGCTCAGCTCTGATTGGTCAGGGAGGCTGACCTGTGCCCTCATAAAACTGGTGTTACATAGACTGAACTGGCTCACATAGTGGGTTAACTGTGTCCAACACTCAAAGCCTGGATGACCTGTTTAAGGTTAAACAAGTCAGTCTTGATGTAAAAACCTAACTCCAGATGTCTTCTGATATATCTTTTCTTACTTTCATGTTCTTCATAGTGTTCTATAAGGAACAGCAAAGCTCTGGTTCTAAGTTGTTCTTCTTGTTCTTTAGCCTCTCCAGATCAAGTCTGTGGTGGCACCGGACCATGTTAAAGGCTACATCTACGTGGAGTCCTACAAGCAGACCCATGTCAAGGCTGCCATCGACGGCATCGGCAACCTGAGGATGGGCTTCTGGAACCAGCAGATGGTGCCCATCAAGGAGATGACAGACGTCCTGAAGGTGGTCAAAGAGGTGACCAACCTGAAGCCAAAGTCCTGGGTCCGACTGAAGAGAGGCCTGTATAAGGACGACATTGCTCAGGTGTGGACCCAACAGCTTGGGGTGAACTCCTAAAGGTTCTGGAGAACATGAGGAGATAATGTTCAGGGGTTTTTACAACAAAGTGGAGAGAGTTTCTTTACTGTCTTCACTCCACTGCAGTGCAGTTACATAAACCTGACCGGTCTCAGCACCAGAACTGGTTTTAAATATATTATAACTCAGGATTCACCAGCACTTTCATGGTCAGTCACCCATCTTTTAAAAAGTCTGACCTGACCATTAATATTTTGACCAAAACAGATTTTTTAAATAGGTGACAGAGTCAGATGTTGTAAAGTAACATTACACCTTCAATGTCCCAATTAAGGACTTGGTAACTCAGTATCTGTGTGGTTTGGACTAATCACTTCATTCTTTACTAGTGTTGGTTATTGTTTAACAGGTGGACTACGTGGAACCAAGTCAAAACACCATCTCTCTGAAGATGATCCCTCGCATAGACCTGGACCGCATCAAGGCCAAGATGAGYCTGGTAGGACAATCACCTGTTAGGTTTTAATGAAAGCAAACACTTGACTGACAGCTGACCTCTAACCTTTGATGCTTTGCAGAAAGATTGGTTTGCTAAGAGGAAGAGGTTCAAGAGACCTCTGCAGAGGCTGTTTGATGCAGAAAAGATCAGGTATATTCAGCTCCTGCTGCTTTCTGCTCATGACACTTAAAGATCTGAGTGAATATGATGAACTGAGACTGTGTCTGAACTGTGAGACAGGTCTCTGGGAGGTGAAGTCAGTCATGATGGAGACTTCATGATCTTCGAGGGGAACCGCTACAGCCGCAAAGGATTCCTGTTTAAAAGCTTTGCCATGTCAGCTGTGGTGAGGAACTGTTTGCATATGATAATCTCTTCCTGTTGTAACTCTTAAAGCTGGGTTAGTTTTTGTGTGAAGCACTCAGCAGCTGCTTCTGCTTTGTTTCTCACAGATCACAGACGGAGTGAAGCCCACTCTGTCAGAGCTGGAGAAGTTTGAAGATCAACCAGAGGGAATCGATCTGGAGGTGGTCACAGAGTCTGGTAAACATGTAAAAACAAACAGCTGCTATTGAGCCTTTGCAACTACATCAGGTCATCACGTGGGGACGCCATGACAGGCTTCAGACACTGTTTTTGAAGCTGGTTTTTCTCATGGCTTCTTGTTGAAGTTGGGCTTATTTGTGGAAGTAACACACCTAGTGGGAGCTCATAGCCAGCTGTATTTACAGATGTTACCACAGTTAACCAATAAAACAGACCAGGATTAAAGTTCTCTGTCACACGTCAACCCCTTCAGATGTTTACCTGCTTCTTGACCCTCAGAAATCTGATGGAGATGGTTATTTCATTTTGTCATCGTACAGAGCACAATAACAGTTCAGAACACCCWTTCAGAAGAAGACAGAACATAACAAACATAGGAGAACATGGACCCCTGCACAGAGCAGGGACCATCATCAGGAAGACATCATGAGGAGGCACCACCCTTAGAAGAAAAAAGAAAAACCACACAAGGAAAGATGATTTTATCATTTGCTTTGAGGAGATTCTGGTCCACCATCCGGTGTCTCGGGGGGGGGGGTAGGTTCACCACCAACAC